AGGGGTTTTGCCCATTGTGTGTGTGTTTTTTGATTTGTGTGTAGAGTTCTGAGAGTATGAGGCATGCTTTCAGAAAATGTGTGTAAACAATCGAGAAAAACTGTAAAGAAAATAAGCTCAGTTGCGAACAAAGGTTTATGATACTCTCGTGTTTTGTTCATCGAGATTATCTTAAATAATAGATAATCACAAATGAACACCATATTTTTGAAGCGTGAATGCATTTGCTACAAGCTAAAAGCTAACGTTTAAAGGCTAATGGCTATAAATGAAGTACACCATGGTTGTGTGGTCACCGCCACTAAACTTCCAACTCGTAATTAAATTTTGTAATTAAAATCTACATGTTGGAAAATTTTGAGTTAGAATAGTTTGCAAGAGGCGGACTAGTGAGTCTTTATTTTCGGCGTGCTGACGTTCAGTGTCGCCAACAACCTCTGTAGTCTTATTTGGCTCATTAACAAATGCCATATTAAAGACATGTAAAAACTTCCAAATTCTCAGGTGGGGTATTTACTGACACATACATGTTGTGAAAATGTCTTAAGCATGTGTTAACCACAGACCTTATTTAATTTAAAAAACCCATTGACCTCGAGGATAGGGCACTAAAATGCTAAAATGCTTTTCCGAGTCTTAAGACTCATTCCTGCAGCACTTTGTAAACATGAACAGAGTGAAGTTACTCCAGCCCTCTGTAATTAAACTTTAAACTTATTTTAAAACTAGCCTGAATCATTCTGAAGAAACCTGAAGTAGAAGGTAGTGACTTTACTCTACTGGCATTTTTTAAGATATTATATTATTTAGCTATCGATATTATCATATTCAGGTCAACATTTTAGGAAATGCGCTTATTCACTATCTTGACAAGAGTTAGAAAAGAACATTGATACCCCTCTTGTGTCAAATACGAAGCTACAGCCCGCAGCTGGTTGGGTTAGTTTAGTAAGATGGCTGGAAAAAAATGTGTAGCTGCACAAAGGGGGTGAAATGGATGAGCTGGTGTGTGTAGACTGGGGGGGAAGAAAGACAAAAAAACAGCTGAAGATATAGAGAATTTAGCTAGTTTTGACCTATGATTGGAATGTGTGCATATATATCAGGCGACTGTGACCTTGTGCAACATACTGAACCCAAAATTGCTCCTAATGCTGTGCATTGGTGTCTGAATGTGTTAGTTTCTGTTTGTGATGAGCAGTTGGCACCTTGCATGGCAGCTGCTGCCATCAGTGTATGAATGTGTGCACGTGGCATCTAGTGTAAAGTGCTTTGAGTGATCAGAAGACTAGAAAAGCAGTGTACAGTCTATTTACCATATCACTTAAATTATTCACTGTAATAACTAAACCTTATCCCTCCTAGAAGCCATTATTTTTCACTATGCCTGGTATAATGCCTTTTAACAGGCAGTTTTTCTTGCCCCCGTCCGCAAGTGTTTGCTCATGGTGGTACTGTTTGGGTCTCTGTAATTGTTATAAGGAGTTCGGTCTAGACCTGCTCTATTTGAAAAGTGTCCTGAGATAACTTCTGTTATGAATTGGCGCTATACAAATAAATTGATTGAATTGAATTGAAATTATAAAAACCTTATTAAAACATTTTATTATATTTATATTAAGCTATATTTTGTATGTTGGTTCAACATTCGCTTGAGTCTTATGCTATTACCAAAAGTCAAATGTTTCTGCATTATATTTAATAAATACGCTATAGGATCATCATGTTATTCAGTCTGATATATATTTATTTAAAGAAAAAGGGGTTGGCTCCAATCGCTAATTTAAAGGAGTCTTAGAGCCAACTCATTCACTAACGACACATCACTGCTTAAACCCCTTCACCGCTTCTGTTATTGTGCCTTTGTAGGGCATGTAGCAGAGAAGAAAATAGAACAATACTTCCCTCCAGTAGAGGGATAAAGTTGCATAAAATAAAAATCCTTTGGCGAATTACAAGTACCTTAAAATTGCACTTGAGTAAACAGTGCTTGAGTAAATGTACGTAGTTACTTGGAAACCTCCCTTGGTATCTTTTGAATCTGGCTTTTAATTTTGGGGTAGCTTTAATGGCCAAGTATGTGTACACATTCAAGGAATTAAAAGTTTTTGTTTTTTCAAGAAATAAAATATAAGTAAATAAAAAAATTGAAAAACAAGGGCCTGCGATCATGTGACAGATTTACAACATAAACTTCTGTCCCCATGATCCCACACTCATATTATCACACACACACACACACACACACACACACACGGAAGGAATTTGACCCTTGAAGTTACTCTCAATGTTAAAGTAACAATGATAAAGTATAAACAATACAAAAGTGCAAAGGGTATTCAGCTCCTGAGTTTGTATTTATTATTATATTTATATCATTTTCCCTGTTGTTGTTTTTTTGTTGTTGTTTTTGATGTATTATGGTATTATATTAAGCATTTTACTTATTGTTACTATTCATTTTCATTTCTGTCTACTGCTCTCAGTACTGTTGTGTTGTGAAGCCCTTTCGGCAGTGCATCTCTGCATTAAGCTGCTACATGAATAAAGTCAGTATTATCACATCATATATTATATCTGATAACTGTTGAAACTGCTGGTAAAGCTGATTCACATAACATAAAAACTACAGCCACAATGCACTTCTTATGCAAGGTATCTGTGTGTGTGCGTGTGTGTGTGTGTGTGTGTAATGAGTCAGGAGTTGCAGTGTGAGGTGAGGTGTGTCAGTGTGGAGGATGAGTGATTACAGTGGACAGTAATCCTGCAGATGGATTAGCAGGTGGTATTAGGAGAAGTGGGGGTGTAGCACACTGCCACCTCTGAACTGTCACAATATGGAGCAGCAGCTCACAGGGCCTCACCTCCGTCTGCCTCACCCCTGCAACACACACACTGGACATTGTGACACACACTGCGGGATGGTCGACATCCACTGAACTGATGAATGAGTGTGTTTTTTAGCTTTTATGAGCTGAACGTTTCTTAAAGCTAGTGCTTGACTTTAAAGCATAAAAATCAAAAGTGTGTAAGAAGTTTTTCTCTTGCTGGCAATAATATCCCTCTGCTGTTTCACTCATACTTTCACTTCAAGTTTTTAATGTCACATACTTAAATATAACCTTAACACTGACTTCTTAGTTATTTTCTAAACCCAAACTTACAACATATCAGGATGTCAGTTATTGACATTACTCTATTGTGAACTATGGCTTTGTAATAAGTATGATGTTGTTATTAAGTTGTTTTCACTCTATTGAAACTGAAACTGAAGATTAATTTAAAATGATTTAGACCTTAAATGCCTTAAATATGATTTTGATAGATCTTAAATTACTTATACGTATTAGTACATTTGTTCACTCTCTATTTTAAATGTGTTTTTATTGATCATGCTGTAGCAACTACAGAACAGATCAACATGGACCCAATACTTTATTTTTCCCTTATATTCTTGTGCTTTTTTGTCAGTATGGATAAAAAAATCTTAAGTCTTAAATTGCATTCATATTGATGTTAAAAGGGTCATAAAAAGTCTTAAATTTAACCTCTTGAAATCTGTAGAAACCCTGTATTTGGTTTGATGGACACGAATTACAGATCTTATGTATATCTTATATATTTTCTTTTCCTAAATAACCCTTTATGTTATGTGTCTATCCCAAGGATGACAGTGTAATAAGGGTTTTTGGATATTAAGTGACAACTATAGTAAAACCATCCTGTAATGTGAGGGCTAATATAATGTAATGCTAGTTCTGGCTTCTGAGTCACAGCACCATCCTTAAAGTCGTGTTGCTGTTGTTTGTTGTTGGTATCTCAGCCAGCTAATTCCATTAAACGTTAGGGACTACAGAACAGATGGGAACAGAACTCCTCAAATTCCTATCATTATGAATGTGTTTCTCCATGGCTGCCAGTCAACACTGGTGAGGATGAGGATGTGAGAGTCCTTGTGAGGAAACACGCAGGTTCCTCTGCTGCAGTGAGGGAGAAGCACTGGCTGGTAAGGCAGGCACAAGGTTAAGTTCAGGCTGAGCCAAGACTGAACCCAGGCTTGGCAACAGACCGCCTGGGAGTGCACGTTTCATCCAAAAATCTTCTGTGACACTATTTTGCTTATTTACTACTTTACTTAAGACTGGGTAAGAAAAAGACGATGACGATGATATGATAACAGAAGAAGCTTGGACCATAATTTCCTCAAGGACACCACAGTATTTATCAGTTAAATGTGAATTTTCTTTAAAAGGTCTCTGAGACAACCTGCATCTGCTGAGGAGTAAAGCTTCCCAGCAGGAGGGCAAAGTACAGCTTTCCTCCACAGTCGCTTCAACAACATGATGAGTGAGTTTTCACTGACATCTGCTGGACAAACATCATTAACTGTCAGTGCTCTGACTGACTGGGTTGTAGGTGTGCTGTATAGATGTTGCTGAATAAGCAGTCCTAATGACAACATTTATCTTTCTAATCATATTCCTCTATGTACACAGAGTGTGATTATTGAGCTCACAATGGTATGTTTACATTCTATTAAATACATACAATAATATTAACACTGTATCTGAGAGATTTGCTGTGGTGTTGAGTTGAATTATTTTTTATCACAGTGCACATTGTAAATGTAAATAATAAATAGGGTATTTAAAGCCAGAAATGCGTAAAAAGAAGAGAATAAGTGAGCAGAGATAGACTGGAAGTCAGAGTAGAACATTATTAATAGCAGAATCACCTGTAAAGGAAAAGTATTTTGGGATGCAGCAGAGACTGCCGGTAGATGGCAGCATTGTGCACGTGATGATAGAATCTGTCATTAATTTATAACATGAAGAAGAAAACCGGAGTGCTGCTTTCAGAGCCTCAGGTGGGTGCCTCAGATTCACTCTGTATCAGGGTGGATGACTGTTTAAAACCAATCAGCACAGAGCTTCGTTTTAGCGACAGATTAAGACAAGCAAACAAAACAAACAAAAATACATAAAAAACTAACAGTAAAAGAAACTGAAAATCTACTTGGTGAAGTTGGAGATAGCCTACATGTTTTTTTATTTGAATGTTGTTTTGTCTAGAAAAGCCTGATTTCCCCCTCACTGGTCTGTACTCAATGCTAGATACCCAACACACTTGAACGCACCTTCTACCAAACCCGGATGTTTTGCTTCACGTCAGTTTGCTCGAGCTGTTTGGAGTCAGTGAAAGTAACGGACACTGTATTTCTGCCTTCACAATACAATACGATAGGTTATCACTGAACCAATCGTTAATTTTAAATAAGCTGTTGTTTTGAGTGTTAACAACATTTTGAAATGAGTGGCGTAAACCTCATTTAGCTAGCCTGACGCTGTCGTGAGTGAAGTTGGAGACCAGAGCAGCCTCAAGGCGAACATGAGCAGCTTTAATTCTCGACATTTCTGATAAAAAACAACAACAGTGAGTTCAGTTTCGTCCTTCAGGATGCTCCGAGAGTCGTATCCGTTCGTGGAGGACAGTTTCAGCCGCTTCCCGTCGCAGAGCAACGTTTACGGGCTGTGTCAGGCCGGGGAGCAGGAGCTGCTGGCGGCCACTCTCAAAGGGAAGGTGGTGTGTTTCAGGTACCAGGAGCTGCAGCAGAAAATCCGACCTGTGGCCAAAGAGGTTCAGTTCACCTACATACCAGGTACAACCTCAATACCGTGACATTGGCTGTGGCTCAGAGGCAGAGCGGGTCGTCCCCCAATCTGCCATGTGTCGAAGTATCCCTGGCAAGCATTAGCTGAACCCGTATTGCGGGTCATAGCACTCGTGGGAGATGTGGTGTGAAAGGGCTTGAATTATGTGGCTCTGAGCGTTTATGTAAAGAGCGCTTTTGGAGGGTGGTCGGAAACTTAGAAGGCGCGTTCGCGTATATCCAGTTACAGGTCGCAGGTTTACATTAAAGTGCACCATGAACACAGAGCCAGACAACATCCCTGTAAGAGAGCAGGGACTATAAAGTGACTGTGGAGTCACATTCACTGGCCCTTTAGGAATATTATAGAGAGTTATTATTGTTTTAAGATCAAATGGGGCATGGGTCAGTTGAATATGGTCTGCTGTAGTTGTATAATAATCATATCAGTGTTGTTGATCATGTTCAGACTATGTGCAATGTGCAGGGAGTAATACGAACACACCTGCACATATAAAGTGGTATAATGCAACCAAGTACATTTACTCAGCACTGTACTTAAGTGCACATTTGAGTTACCACCATTACATTTATCTGACAGCTGTTGTCACTAGTTACTTAGCTGATTAATATTTTACATGCAGACCATATGATGAGCTTCTAAACATTGCTGCATCGTTATAGGCTAAACAACCCAACCGTACTACTGTATTAACTATTGCAGGAAGCACAATGATGTGATGCATTTAGGGTAAGTTAAGTAAGCAGACATATCGGTATTGTATGCATATATGTTGATATGTATATAATGCAGAAGAAAGTGCTATTGGTGTCACTGCAAGGTTTATCCAGCAGAGTGCGCTGTGATTTACAGTTCAGTAAGCAATAGCAATAGCAATATCAATTGGACACTGTGTATGTTAAATTATTTAACACTTAAAGAATGTTTCATTAAAATATTCTTTAATAAAGTTATTTGTTGTTGGGTTGGGTTCAGTTGTCTTTTTCCAGATGTGCTGAGCAGTGATGGCTCCTGTCCTGAATTCCTGTCCACCTCTGTAGTCTTAAATCATGGTATCCTCCCTAATAAATTAAACATATTGCAAGACCTGAACCGTATGGTTGACATGGAATATTAGTAATGCCGTTTTTGTAACTAATTTAGTCCTGAATCGTGTGCTGCTGCTTGATTTGATCCTGTCTTCTTTATCTAGTTGATGCAGAGATCGTATCAATCGATGCCTTCAACAAGTCTCCACCCAAAAGAGGTCTGGTGGTGGGCATCACATTCGTGAAGGTATATTTTCATATTTAAGCTCACAATGTAGCATGTGTAAACTTTACTGTAAAGGTTGTAAATCCTTTCTACAATTATAGAAGCATTGTTAATTCTGGCTCAACTCCTGCAGGACTCTGGTGACAAAGCCACACCGTTCCTGAATATCTACTGTGACTATGAGCCCGGCTCAGAGTTCAACCTGGAGTCTATTGCACGTGAGTGAAGCTGTGTCCTGATGTGTACTGTGGTTTCGCTACCAGATGCTGATGTTACTGTGTGTCTCTGAACAGAAAGCTGCCTGAACCTGGAGTTGCAGTTCACGCCCTTCCAGCTGTACCACACAGAGTAAGTCTGCTGCTGCAGAGCTGTGATATACACCAGTGAGCGATACATGCTAAAGGCAGAGACATCCAGGAGCAAACCCTGGCTTTTCGGTCTCAGAGATAGCGCAAACCAAGTTCACACTGAGTTCAGTTGCCATGGTAACCACCACTTCAGGCCAAACCTGCAAGTACAAGGTTTGCTCAGGTTGACAGATCAAACGTATAAAGATCCAACTCCTGACCAATCAGCTGTGAGGAGTCACCATTCCCTCAGGATCCCAGAATGGACAAAATACTGCACTCACATTACTGTGACAAGTACAACAGCAACAGAGTGGAGTCATTACAAACCAGTGGACAGACTTTGCTTTGCATGGCAAGCTGTTAAAGTGTAAGTTTAGTAAATGCTTACAGTCCCACTGTGGTTATAAAACATGGCGTCTATAGCAGGTAGATCACAAGTGTCAATAATAAACAAAATGCACACTTGAATGTTCTGAGATGACTTTGTGAATAGAAAAAATCTCTTTAGAGACATAATGATACTGCAATAAATAAATATTACTAAGCAAACGAAAACACAGTACCAGCCCAACAACATACCATTCAATTCAATTCAATTCA